GAGGCAGAGGCAGAAACAGAGAGCGAGGTCTTCCATCCACTGGTTCACTCTCCAGATGGCTGCAACGGCCAGAACCGGGCTGATCCAAAGCCAGGAGCCAGGAGCTTCTTCTGGGTCTCCCTCGTGGGTGCAGGGGCCCAAGGACTTGGGCCATCCTCCACTGCTTTCCCAGGCCATAGCAGAGAGCTGGATTGGAAGTGGAGCAGCCGGGACTCAAACTGGTGCCCACAAGGGAGGCCGGCGCTGCAGGCAGAGGCTTTACCAGCTTTGCCCCAGCACTGGCCCTCACTGCTCAACTTTTTATTTGACAGAGTTCTCATCTGCTGGTTTACTTTTCAAACGCCTGCAACAGCCAGCGTTGGGACAGAGCGGGAGCCAGGAACCATGGTGGGAACACACAGTATCCATAACCCAGGTCCCCTACAGAGCGGCAGGGAGCCAACGATCTGAGCCGCCACCTGCTGCCTCCAGGGCCCACGTTAGAGGGAAGCTGGAATTGGGAGCAGAGCTAGGACTTGAGCCCAATATTCAGTGTGGGCTGGGGACACCATCTCTCAGCCCAGCACTCGCCTCTGCCTTATCGTTTTAATGGTGGCGCAGTATGCCATCACCTAAGTGCGCCGTTATGTATTGAGCTGGCCCCTCCTGGGAGGCGTTTTGGTTGCTCCCATTCAGTGGCTGTTACGAGCATCACCGAGCTGGCCGTTCACTCGCTCACACTTTGCCTACGCATGTGTGGCTGGAATTTCCTATGGCAGTGAACGGCATCCTAAGGGAATCTTGAAGGCGACTCCAGGATACAAGTCACTTAGGGCCTCGTAAGTTCTCTCCCGTGGGCTACTCTCAGAAACAAACAAGTGTAAGGGGCCAGCACTGTGGTGCAGAGGGTTAATGCCCTGGCCTGCAGTGTCAACATCCCATGTGGGCGCCGGTTCAAGTCCTGGCTGCTCCACTTCCCATCCAGCTCTCTGCTAGGGCCTGGGGAAGCAGTGGAAGATGGCCCAAGTGCTTGGGCCCCTGCACCCACGTGGGAGACCCAGAAGCAGCTCCTGGCTCTTGGCTTCGGATCAGCTCAGCTCTGGCCATTGCGGCCATTAGGGGAGTGAACCAGCAGATGGAAGACCTCTCTCTCTCTCTCTCTCTCTACCTCTCTCTTTAACTCCATCTTTCAAATACATAAAATAAATCTTAAAAAACAAACAAGTCTGTGTTTGCACACAATGAGCACCACGGGAAAAGCACCTGCTGCTGCTCCTGCTCCCAGCGGTGCCGTGTCCCGGGTGAGCACTGTCCCAGGTGAGCACTGTCCCGGGTGAGCACTGTCCAGGTGAGCACTGTCCCGGGTGAGCACTGTCCCGGGTGAGCACTGTCCCGGTGAGCACTGTCCCGGGTGAGCACTGTCCAGGTGAGCACTGTCCCGGGTGAGCACTGTCCCGGGTGAGCACTGTCCAGGTGAGCACTGTCCCGGGTGAGCACTGTCCCGGGTGAGCACTGTCCAGGTGAGCACTGTCCCGGGTGAGCACTGTCCCGGGTGAGCACTGTCCAGGTGAGCACTGTCCCGGGTGAGCACTGTCCCGGGTGAGCACTGTCCAGGTGAGCACTGTCCCGGGTGAGCACTGTCCCGGGTGAGCACTGTCCAGGTGAGCACTGTCCCGGGTGAGCACTGTCCCGGGTGAGCACTGTCCAGGTGAGCACTGTCCCGGGTGAGCACTGTCCCGGGTGAGCACTGTCCAGGTGAGCACTGTCCCGGGTGAGCACTGTCCCGGGTGAGCACTGTCCCGGGTGAGCACTGTCCAGGTGAGCACTGTCCCGGGTGAGCACTGTCCCAGGTGAGCACTGTCCCGGGTGAGCACTGTCCCAGGTGAGCACTGTCCCGGGTGAGCACTGTCCCAGACCATAGTGGAGCTCAGTAATCTTCGCTGATGGAGTGAGGCAGTGTCCTTGTTGGGGACGAGGCTCTGATCTGCTGGTTTCTGTCTGTTTTGGGAAGGGTGTGCTGAAGACGGCTTGTGCTATCCTTGTTTTAGATGGCAAGTTTATTGCTAGGTCCAGTAATCCTATGAGGTTTAGGCTCTGCTTGTCTCCTATCCATCCCAAGAGTAATATCCATTATTTCACTCAAGACATAGTGATGATGAAGATACCGTCTCTGCAAATACCAAGAGCTGCCTTCAAATTTTTTCTTAGAATGTGTGAAAATCCATGGAAATTGGTGTAAAGATGGACCAAGAACTCTGCTCTAGTGCTCCTAATGGACTTTGTAAACAAAGATTTTATTTATTTACTCATTTGAGAGGCAGAGTTACAGACAGAGAGAGGGAAAGACAAAGAGGGAAGCCTTCCATCCGCTGGTTCATTCCCTAAATGGCCACAATGGCTGGAGTTAGTCTGATCCCAAGCCAAGAGCCAGGAGCTTCTTCTGGGTCTCCCATGTGGGTGCAGGGGCCCAAGGACTTGGACCATCTTCTACTGTTGTCCCAGGCCACAGCAGGGAGCTGGATTGGAACAGGAGCAGCCAGGACAGGTTCCAGCACCTATGTGGGATGCTAGCACTGCAGGTGGCAGCTTTGCCTACCACACCACAGAGCCGGTTCCTCCTAATGGACTTTCTCCAGCAGACAGGACTTGCCCTTGGCCTCCCTACTGCATGCCCTCCTTCTGCAAGGTGATGACCAGGGATGGTGGGTAAGGTGGCCGAGTGGGTGCTGAACCCACCTTCTGCTCTTCTCATGGCCACTCCCTCTGCAGCTGCAGCCTTCCATTGCCAGTCAACAACCCCTTGTTCTGGGACATTCTCTGTGCCAGGGCTGGTTCTGGGTAAACCCGGGAAGCCCCCTTTCCTCCTATCACTTCCTCTGCTGCCCCCACAGGACTTTGGCTTCTGTCTCCCACCTGTGGCTCAGTGCTCTGTGGGAGAGTGGTGAAATGGCTGTAACAACGTTGTGGTGACTAATTTTAGGGGCCCACTAAACTGGACCAGGGGAAGCCACCCAGCTGGTGGCACAGGGTTTTCTGAGTGTGTTTGGGAGGGAGTTCCGGCAAGAAATCAGCATTTGCATCAGTGGGCTGAGGAAGGTGGAGGGCCCTCCATGTCCAATCCACCGAGGATCTGATACGACAGCAATGCCACGGAAGACGGAGTCTGATCTCGGCTCGATGTAGGACATCAGTCCTCTGCCCGCAGAGACCCTGGTTCCAGATCTTCCCAGCAGACTGGGTTCTGTGCCATCAGCTCTCTGTCCCTGAGGGCTGAGCCCCACCCTCCCAGCCTTCCCGTGAATCCAGCTGCAGACGTCGGAGCATGGAGCTTGCCGCCCTCATCAGTCACGTGAGGTTGCACCTTACAGTTCGGCTCTGTCTTCTCTATGTGCACATTCCACTGAAGGAGTGAAACGCTGGTCCAAAAGCTGTGTAAGTGCCCTCAGGAGGACGTGGATGACAAAGGAAAAGCAACAAACAGTAGGGGAAGAACCGGCCTGTGCACCTGCTTGTGGATGAAACTGGGTCCCCCTCTCCCCAAAGGAGCCACGAGGTTCCAGCTAGGCAAGCTCCAAGTATCCACAGAGACAAGAATGTTGACATTTGGTTCCCACATGTGCCCTGAGACCCTGTTTCTTTGTGTTATGGTAATACAGCTTGACAATTTTCATAATTGACTGTATTGATTGCCTTTTAATTTAACTTGAAAATTTAAAAAAGATTTATTTATTTATTTGAAAAGCAGAGTTACAAAGAGAGAGAGAGAGAGAGAGCCTCCATCTGCTGCTTCACTTCTCAAATGGCTGCCATGGCCAGAGCTGGGCCAGGCTGAAGCCAGGAGCCAGGAGCTTCTTTCAGGTCTCTCCCATGACTGCAGGGCCCAAGCACTTGGCCCAAGTGCTTGAGCAGGGAGCTGGATTGGAAGTGGAGCAGCCAGGACTCAAACGGGCGCCCAGATGGGATGCTGGCACCATAGGTGGCAGCTTTACCTGCCACAGCACCAGCCTCAAATTTTGATACTTTTATTAAGAATATTTAAAAGGTTAACAACCTGGCTGGCGCCACAGCTCACTAGGCTAATCCTCCACCTGTGGTGCCAGCACCCTAGGTTCTAGTCCCGGTTGGGGTGCCAGTTCTGTCCCAGTTGCTCCTCTTCCAGTCCAGCTCTCTGCTTTGGCCCGGGAAGGCAGTGGAGATGGCCCAAGTGCTTGGGCCCTGCACCCGCATGGGAGACCAAGAGGAAGCACCTGGCTCCTGGCTTCAGATCGGTGCAGCGGGCAGGCCATAGCGGACATTTGGGGGGTGAACCAATGGAAGGAAGACCTTTCTCTCTGTATCTGTCTCTCACTGTCTAACTCTGCCTGTCAAAAAAAAAAAAAAAAAGGTTAACAACCCATAGAAATAGAATAGACAAAGAAAAACCTTATACTCCACTGTGTAGGCAACCTACCTTTGCTATTTTCACTTTAACAGTTGTAGTTGGCATAAGTGCTGGTTTTTCTTAATTAACTCTTTTCTTTTATCTTTTAGTTGTTTTATTCCATCTTTCTCCCCTTCCTTCCATCTCAGCTCAGATAGCATATTTTTACATTTGGTATGCAACACTTTTTGGGTGGTTCACTCCCCAAATACTCACAAAAACGAGGCTGGACCAGGCTGAAGCCAGGAGCCAGGAACTCCATCCAGGTCTCCCATGTGGGCGGCAAAAACCCAACCACTTGAGCCATCACCTGCTGCCCCCAGGAAGCCGGATTGGAAAGCAGGCTCAGGACTGAAACCCAGGCACTCTGTATGGGTGCAGGCAGCCTAAGCAGGATTTACCTGCTGTGCCAAATGCCTGCCCCTGATTTGTGTTTGCTTGATGGCTGATGCTTGAACAATAGCTTGCGCTAAAGTTTACCCCATATCCCTTAGGGAAGGGACCTTCCCATGGCATTCCCGCCATTCCTTCCTCCCCTCCTCCCTTCCTCCCTCCCTGCCATCTTTCCTTCCCTCTCTAACTCCCTCTTCTCTTATCTCAGCAAGCAATACTGCAGCAGAGAGCCTGGCACACCTGCCTTTGAGTGCCGATCGTCTTTCTTCTCAGTAGTACAGATGCCGAAGACTGAGGTCGCTAAGTGGAAGGGTAAGTATTTTGGGTGGTGGGGTTGTAGTTGTGTTTCTAAACAGATGTCGCAGCTTAAATGGAAGAAGGCGACACAGGCATCCCGCTGTCTGGACTCAGCAGGGTCTGAAAGTGGCCCTCCCGCCCACACCCCACAGCATGAAGGTTTCCTCATGGGGGTGAAGCAGCCCCTGGGTGTTACCTGAGCGTCTGTTTCTCTGTCCATCATTGTGCATGGGCATCTTCTCGGTTTTCCTTCCTGGACTGCCCAGGTCAGCTCCTGCACCCATCGTCTGTTCTTTCACCCATGCGAGGCCCTTAGCTGCCGTGCGAGTGCTGGGTGGACCCCTCTCCCAGTCCCCCCACCGTTGTCTCTTGCCCTGGTTTGGGTGTATTTTGCCACTCAAGGAATACTTGGAGTCGATTGTCTTTCATGTTATGGCTTCTAGGTTTCTGTCACTTGTAGAAGTGCATCCCTGACCCTTAGAGTATAAATACACGTTCTAGAATATTCTACGCTCAAAATTCCTTGGTCTTAGTTTTTCTTATCTTCAAATATTTTTCTTTCTTTCTTTTTTTAAAGATTCATTTGTTATTTTTTGAAAGGCAGAATTACAGAGGCAGAGGCAGAGAGAGATAGAGAGAGGTCTTCCATCCGCTGGTTCATTCCCTAAATGGACGCAACAGCCAGAGCTGGCCCAATCCCAAGCCAGGAGCCAGGAGTTTGTTCCAGGTCTCCGACGTGGGTGCAAGCACTGGGCATCTTCTACTGCTTTCCCAGGCCAGAGAAGAGAGCTGGACCAGAAGTGGAGCAGCTGGGCCTTGAACCGGCGCCCCTATGGGATGCGGGCACTGCAGGCGGCAGCTTTGCCCATTACGCCACAGCGCTGGCACCCTTAGATTTTGCTTATCTGATTTGTTGGTGAAGCCTGTTTAACAGATCTGAAATGAGGCAAGGCTCTGATTTTTCTTTCCCTGTTCAAACATGGTCCCTGCCAACCCAAAGGAAAGCTCTGGAAGCTTTTCCGCTCACTCCCCACCGACTTCTGCTGCCCACGGGGTCTTTCTGCACTTTCCCAGCTCCTGACTCTGGCGCACAGCCTTGACCTGCTCGTCCTTCTCGCCTCAAGCCGTAAACCCTCACTCAATGCAACCTGGCGAACGCAGTGACAGCAGGGTGGACACTCGCACGTCCGGACCCTCTGGCCCCTGGCTGCCAGGACTGTTCCGGGAACCCGGCAGGTTTGCGCTCATGGAGCTGTGACAGAGACATGGTTGGCAGACTTAAGCCACCTGTGCAGGTGACCCAGCTCAGCCAGGCGCCGAGGTCTGCCTCCACCATTCCGGTTGTAACCAGTGCCCCCCGAGTGCACACCACACCTGGGAATTTGCCCCACCGGCTGTGGCAGAGCCCTCGCTGCTTGCTGTCCAGTGGCCCCCAGTGATGATCGGCGCCCCGAGGAGTCCCATCAGGCTCCCTTCAGTGGTACCCGGCCAGCTGCCCGTGCAGCTGCAGAGCTAAGCAGAGCCCCAACCCCACCCACCGCGCTGCCTCCCAATTCATTTCACCGCCCCAAAGGCTGCATGGGTCCTCTCCCCAGGGGCTGCATGCCTGGCCCTAAAACCAGGACAACTGCACATCTGGACCTGGGAGGCCCCTGCTGGGGGCCCTTCCCTGCACTCTCCCTCCCCTAGGAACTTGGTGTGAAGTCGGCTTGGTCAGGGGCAGAGCGTTTGCCGCCTTCCGGTCTGTGGACCCAGGCAGAGACTCCGGCTGCTGGGGCAGCTCCCGTCCTGCCGACGTCCGTTCCACCTTCCCGCCTCCCTTCTCTGAAACCCCAAGGGGCTGCGTGCTGGATGCTGGCTCCCCATGCAGGCGGCTTCTCTCTGAAGTGCTCCCTACTTCTAAGATGTATTTGATGGGAACCCCACCTTGACCTTGCCTTGTGATCCAAATCCCTAGACTCAGTGCCTATCGTCATTTGAAAAATAAAAAAAATAAAAAAAAATAAAACCAGCCTGTGCAAGCACCCATTCAGACAGCCGCCTGCCCGGTGCGGATAAAAGAAATATTTGTCTTGATGAAATGTTTACGCAAGTCCATTTGACATCTAAGAAGTTGGTTTTATTTCTCCCCTTCTTCTTGGATGTCCCCTCTGGCGACCCCAACTCTGCGTGTCTGGGGACAAGAAGGAGAAGAGAAGCTTGTCTCGCAGGAAGCGTCTCTGGGAATTCCAGTCCTGTCTGTGCACGGGGCACACTCTGTGAGCACCCACCCCTGCGCGTGAGCACTCACTCCTAGGCGTGCCCGTGCAACCTCAGCTTTCCTGCAGGTGCGCATCCAAGAAAAGCTCGCGTTTGCAAGTCACCAGTGAGAAAATCATGCTCAGACCCGGACAGGGCAGAAAGCGCACTTGGCGCGGCGAGAGGCCGTCTGCGGAGGCTGTCCTTGGCGTGAGGGTGATGGCAGTGGAGGGGGTGCCCCAGGTACGTGCAGAGGGGATAGCCTTGCTGAGAGAGTGTCAGGAACAGGAAGCAGTGCCTAGGGTGTGTGTGGCTGAGCAGCAGGGTCTGCCCCACAGGAGGGAGGGGGCACAGAGTCTGGGGACAGTGAGGACTGGGGGGTTCACCCTACGTGGGCTTAGATGGCAGTGGGGAATGTGGGCAGGGCCCTGCGACCCCGTATGTGCACATGTGTGTGCACGTGCACGTGCATGGGCTGCAGGATCTCTCTGGCTGCTCTGTAGAGACCCTGTGTGAGGGTGGACGTTTGCACAGTGGTTACACTGCATCATGAAGGCACACTCTGCATCCCAGAGTGGCTGGGCTCAAGTCCCCGCTCCACTCTCCATTCCAGCTTCCTGTGAAGGGGCACCCAGGGAGCCAGCCGGTGAGGACTCAAGTCCTTGGATCCCTGCCACCCACCTGGGAGACCTGGGTTGAGTTCTGGGCTCCTGACTTCGGCCTGGCCCAGTCCTGACTATTGTGGGTGTTTGGAAAGTGAGCCAACAAATGGAAGATCTGTGTGTGTGTGTGAACATGTGTGCGTGTATGTCAATCTTTCTGCCTGTCAAATAAATAAAATAAAATGGATAGCAAGACGTCTATGGGGTGAGGATGAGCGTGGAGAGGAACACACACACCCCAGGGCTGCAGGCACCCTGTTGTTGGTCGGAGGCCCCTCTGTCCTTCCAAGTGAGCTGTGTGTACACAGGTGCACGGCAGGTGCACCCTCGGGGTTGTCTTGGCAACGCTGTCCCCCTGCGTCCTCCCGACCTCCCCCTGTAACGGAGTGCTGTGCGTGGGTTCTGGCTGGGCATTGCCCTGGCTGACTGAGTGCAAGCAGCCCGGGACTCTGGTGCACCTCCAGGCTGAGGCCTCCCCATCAGCACCAGGTGAGGTCAACACTAGCGGACTGAGCACCACCGGCACACGTGAAGACTTGGACACGCAAGCAGGAAGAAACAGCAGCCAGGGGCCCAACGACCACCCCACTGAGGGTGGTGTGAGCATCGCCGCTGGGGGCGTCCCCGAGGCCGTGTCATCTCACCTCACGGCCAGCACTGCCCATCCACACTCGGGTGCCTCGTCCTGCCTTCCCTACTGTGGAATGTTCCCAAGATGTCAGCCACATCCCGCCACTTCCCTGTGTGTCACACCCGGGAGGCTTCCTCACACCTGCAGGAGTTGTCCCAGCTGCCCTGTCCACACCTGGTGCCCGCTGTCCCCCTCACTCCTGCACCGGGAGCCCACGGAGCCTGCAGACTCAGTGCGGGCATCTGGGGCCACATCACAGGGCCTGCCCTGTCACACATGCAACCACGAGACACATAGACACATGAAGACACACACACCGCACATGCACACACAGAACAAATAGACACCTAGACAGCTGAATCCATACACACACCATACATAGGCACACAGAAATCACCTAGACACACACAGAAATCTCATATGGACAGATGAAGACATACACCGAACATGCACACAGACACACGAGGACACACACACCACACATGCACATACAGAACACATAGACACAGACACCTGGAGACACACAGAAGTCACACAGACACGCAGACACGTGAGAACACACACACCACACATGCACATACAGAACACATAGACACCTGGAGACACACAGAAGTCACACAGACATGCAGACACATGAGGACATGCACACCACACATGCACATACAGAACACATAGACACCTGGAGACACACAGAAGTCACACAGACACATGAAGACACACACACACACACACCATGCACATACAGAACACATAGACACAGACACCTGGAGACACACAGAAGTCACACAGACACATGAACACACACACATCATGTATTCACATACAGAGAACATAGACACCTGGAGACACACAGAAGTCATCAGACTCGCAGACACATGAGAACACACACACCACACATGCACATACAGAACACATAGACACAGACACCTGGAGACACACAGAAGTCACACAGACACGCAGACACGTGAGGACACACACACCACACATGCACATACAGAACACATAGACACCTGGAGACACACAGAAGTCACACAGACACATGAACACACACACACATCATGTATTCACATACAGAGAACATAGACACCTGGAGACACACAGAAGTCATCAGACTCGCAGACACGTGAGAACACACACACCACACATGCACATACAGAACACATAGACACAGACACCTGGAGACACACAGAAGTCACACAGACACGCAGACACGTGAGGACACACACACCACACATGCACATACAGAACACATAGACACCTGAGACACACAGAAGTCACACAGACACATGAACACACACACACACCATACATTCACATACAGAGAACATAGACACATAGACACCTGGAGACACACAGAAGTCACACAGACATGCAGACACATGAGGACACACACACCACAATGCACATACAGAACACATAGACACACAGACACCTGGAGACACACAGAAATCACACAGACATGCAGACACATGAGGACATGCACATAAAGAACACATAGACACAGACAGCTGGAGACACACAAAAGTCACACACACAGACACATGAGGACACACACACACACACCATGTATGCACAGAGTACATAGTCACACAGACACATGAAGACACACACCACACATGCACACACAGACACACAGGCCCATTTTTTCCTATACCACACACATATACACTCCGGAGAAAGACTGACACATGAAAACAAACACACACCACATATACACACACAGATCCCACATACCACACACAACACACACCCTCCATAGAAACATAGACACATGAAGGCATATACATATACTATACATGTACACACACAGGCTCACCCACATCACACATTGCCAAACAAAAAGATAGACACAGACACAGACACAGGAATACACACCACTCACACACCCACACAGATACACATACATGCACACAGAGCAACTCCACACATAGCACACATACACATCACACATAGCGTACACAGAGACACAAAACACAGACACACCACAACATATGCACACAAGAGAAAACCTAAAATACACTACATACACAATATAGACACATGCATAAAAACACACTTGGAGACACAGACACAAACACATACCGAACACAGATACACACGAACACACAGAGGCATGCACAAACACACACACATATCCGCTTTGCACAAATACACACTACACACATGCATAGACAAGCCCAGACACATACAGACACAAACACACACACCAGACACATACAGACACACACACACACACACCTGCTGGCTGCATTAGCCATGTCACGCCCCACTTATTCCATCAAATTACTGTACTCTTACTTGACTCCCCTACTGGACTGTGTTTGGCAGGGGCCGTGTCTTGGTCATCTTACTGCTGTCACACAGTCACGTGTGTGAGGCGTGCCGAGCGTGTGTGTTTAGCTTAGTGAATCTGCAGATGAGCAGGAGCCTGAGTGATGTTCAGCCTGGTCCAGGTGACACCATGAGAGCGTCCCAGGGGCTCCCGCATGTCCTTCCCGGCCCATCCTGGTCCATCTCCAACTTCTCAGGAGCTGCTTCTGTGACTTGTAGGTGACAGACACCCGATGTGGGGGCGGGGCTCCCTGGTGACAGACACCTGACATGGGGGCGGGGCTCCCTGGTGACACCCCCCCAGACATTGGGGGAGGGGCTCCCTGATGACAGACACCCCGACATGGGGGGAGGGGCTCCCTGTGACAGACACCTGACATGGGGGGAGCCTGTCAGTCCTCTGTGGGAGAAGGAGAAGGGGGTTGAGGCTGACACCCTTGGTCACCCCAGCCTTCGCAGTTCTGAGACCAGAGGTAAGACGGGTAAGCGTCCTACAGTCTGAAGGAGGCTTGGTCACACAGCAGATGTACTCCGGATGATTCCACAGGTCCAGCTGGAGACAGTAATGGCCCCTGCTCCTTGTCTTGTCACCCTGGGCAGAGCCAGTTCCCAGACCTCACGGCATCCTCGCCGCAGCCTTCGGTGATAAGAAGAGCAGGTGTTCTTATCATCCTGCCCTCCACGAGGAGAGCCTGAGGCGCCGTCTCCGGGTGCACAGGTGCACATGATCTCTGGTGCAGGTGAGTGCTGCGCCGAGTCCCTGGTGTCCTGGCTCGGGTCTCAGGGAGCCTCCCGTGCCTCTCGCCTTTTGATTTCAGGCCTGTGGGTGCTGTTGTGGGCTGAGTGACATCCCCCTCATCCCCACAGGCTAAGCTGAGACCCTCACACAGGATGGAAGCTTGCTTGGAAGTAGGCTGGTTGCAGGTGGCAGAGGTAATTAGGTAGCACGAGCTCACCTTGGGGTAGGGTGACTCCAAGTAGTCCAGTGAGTGCTGGCCCTGGGGGGGGGATGGGGACAGCCACACTGGGAGGCCATCAGGGAGCCCACGCGGAGACAGAAGCAGCGAGCCGAGCGGTGTGGCCACAAGCCCCGGGATGTGGAGAAGCCCGGGAGAGGCAGGGAAGGAGGGGTTCTCCCTGCAGGGTCAGAGCCCCTCATGGCCTCCCGACGCCTTGGTTTTGGACCTGTAGCTGCAGAATGGTAAGGCTGTACGTTTCTGTCATTCCAAACCACCCAGTTCGTGATCCTATGTCTGTGCAGCCCTGGGAAACTAGTACAAGTCCCTTTGGACAGATCCTCCTCTTCCTCCTCCTCCACCTCCTCTTCCTCTTCTTCCTCCTCCTCTACCTCCTCCTCCTCTTCCTCCTCTTTTTCCTACTTCTTCTAAGATGTAGTCATTTGAAAAGGCAGAGGTATGGAAAGAAGAAGAGATTGAGATCTCCCATCTGCTGGTTCACTCCCCAAATGGCTCCAACAGTTGGAGCTGGGCTGATATGGAGCCAGGATCCAGGATCTTCATCCAGGTCTCCCATGTGGGTGGCAGGGGTCCAAGCACTTGGGCCATCTTCTGCTGCTTTCCAAGGCCATTAGCAGGGAGCGGGATTGGAAGTGGAGCTGCCAGGACTCGAACTGATGCCTGTATGGGGTGCTGGCCCTGCAGGAGGAAGCTTAGCCCGCTACGCCACCGTGCCGGCCCCTGGACAGCTGCTTCTGCTCCTGCTCTGGGTCAGGATGATCCACGCATGGGCCGGGGGTGACCTTTCTGCCTGCTGGTTCCTCCTCACCCATACCCGTCTACCGGCAACCCCGGCCTTTCCTTTTTTAAATATTTTTTTTGTTAAACAACTTTTTTTTTTTTGACAGGCAGAGTTAGACAGAGAGAGAGAGAAAGAGAGAGACAGGGAGAAAGGTCTTCCTTTTTCCATTGGTTCACCCCCCAAGTGGCCGCTATGGCCGGTGCTGTGCGGATCCAAAGCCAGGAGCTAGGTGCTTCCTCCTGGTCTCCCATGGGGTGCAGGGCCCAAGCACCTGGGCCATCCTCCACTGCACTCCCGGGCCACAACAAAGGGCTGGACTGGAAGAGGAGCAACCGGGACAGAACCGGTGCCCCAACCGGGACTAGAACTCAAAGTGCCGGCACTGCAGGCGGAAGATTAGCCTAGTGAGCCGCGGCGCCGGCTCGGCCTTTCCCTTAAGGCATGGCTGCGATCCATTGCCACAGACGCTCTTGTCCCTCCTCCCACAGAACCTGGCAAGGACAGATGGCATCCACACGGATGCGGGCTTCTTACATGGCGTCAGCAGAGTGGGCGCAAAGGGGGCCTCTCGGACTTTGTGCCTCTTTGGCTGAGCTATGGCAGATGGAGCGGGGGAGGGGCAACACCACGTGGAATGGATTTGGGCCCAAGCTTTGTCTGGAGGCTGAGTATTGCTTTCATTAGAAACACAAAAACCTGGGGCCCTGCACTGTGGCCACCCCACGACCTGTGGCGCCAGCATCCAGTGGGCGCCTTTTCAAGTCCTCGCTACCCCACTTCTGATCCACCTCCTTGCTAATGCGCCTCGGAAAGCAGTAGACGATGGCTCAAATGCTTGGGCCCCTGCACCCATATGTGAGACTCTGAAGAAGCTCCTGGCTCCTGGCTTTGGCCTGGTCCAGCCCTGGCTGTTGTGGCCATTTGGGGAGTGAACCAGCAGATGGAAGATTCTCTGTCTGTCTGTCTCTGCCACTCTGCCTTTCAAATACATACATAAATAATAATGAAAAAATAAATACAGAAGCCTAATGCATTTTGTACGGCTGGCTTTTCCTGATGCCCTCTCTCTCGGGTCAATTTTGCATGTTGACGTGGTAACTGAACTTGAAGCTCCACCTACCGTTTCCAAGGCTCCACTGAGAGGGAGTGTGACGTCCTCTCTCTTCCCTAGACTCCCACAGCTCTGTACACGTGCCTGTCTTAGGTCAGACTCCACCGTCCACCTGCACCGGCGCAGGAGCCGACAGGTACTCACTGAGTGGGTGCACCTGCCCGCCTTGGGGATCCCTCCCTGGACAGGGAGCTGCAGACCTCACGGAACTCACAAGTACTGTATGGGGTGTAGGTGCCTATAGTGGTGTCTGAACCACTAATTGAGACACCTGTCACGTCAGCACAGTTTTCTAGAGTGTTGTACAAATACATGTGAACAGAGTTTGATGCACAAGTTTGGTCCACTCTAGACCATCGAGCCACACAGGCTGTGGCAGGTGCATGACTGAACAACACAGAGCACTGGCTCACGGTGGACCCCATGCACTGGCACAGGGTCCCAGTTGGCCCTACTGGCAGAGGTCGAATGCTCTGCAGCTGCCATCCTGGACATTTTAATACTATTACCTCTGGGGGCCGGCGCTGTGGTATAGTGGGTAAAGCTGCCGCCTTCAGTACTGGCATCCCATATGGGCTCTGGTTCGAGTCCTGGCTGCTCCACTTCTGATCCAGCTCTCTGCTGTGGCCTGGGAAAGCAGTGGAAGATGGGCCAAGGCCTTGGGCCCCTGCACCCATGTGGGAGACCTGGAAGAAGCTCCTGGCTCCTGGCTTCGGATCGGCGCAGCTCCGGCTGGTTGTGGCCAAATGGGGAGTGAACCAGCGGATGGAAGATCTCTCTGTCTCTTTCTCTCTCTGCCTCTCCTTCTCTCTCTGTGTAACTCTGACTTACAAATAAATAAATGAATCTTTAAAAAAATAATACTACCTCTGAACAGGTGGTGGCTCTGCCCATGGGGCAACAGAACGGGGGGAGGACTTAAAACTTTGGTCCCCGCAGCACCTGCCTCTTGCCCCCTTTTCAGGGGGTGTTTCAGTTGCCCTCTCCCTCCCTGTCCCCTGGGCCTGCAGGTGGCCACTGGAATCAGGAAGTTGGTGTTCTGCCATCACCTGGCACCACTGGTGGGGGTCTGGGTCTTTGTGCATGGAAGATTGAGGGTGGGTACATGCTGTGTGGGACCTCAGGGGAGGCCTGGCCATCATTGTCCCCGTCCCCTACCCTCCACGCCATCGCATGTTCCACAAGGGACTGGACCTCAGGCCCACCTAGGATTCAGGAACCCAGAGCTTCCCAGCACGTAGGTTGCAACCCCTTGCGGGTTTCCCATCTTGCACAGGAGCAGGGATCTGTGGGCAAAGGACATTGGCTTCCCCAACCACTCAACCCTGGCTGGACACAGTGCATGGCGTCCACTGGAGGGTGAGGAGGTGACCCAGCAGGTGTGGGCTCTGCTGGTCCTGTACTGCATCATGTCGCAAGGCCCTGGCACCTGTGGGGGGCGGGGTTCTGCATACACCTGGGCTGTTCCCCTGCCAAGAGAGGAGGTGTTAATTGCAAATAAAAGACACCTGCGGCGGGGGGTGGGGTGAGCCTGGGGTGGAAAGGAGGAAACCTCCTACTTTACTGCTTGGGTACTTTGCGTTGGGAAAAAAAGAGCCCTCCATTTTCATTCTACGCTGGGCCTGGTAGCCAGCCCTGTTCCCAAACCCAGTGAGAACAGAGGTCACTGTGGACCAGAGTGAGCCTGCGCCTGGCTGCGGGGGCCTGCGATCGGATCATTGCCTTTGTGCGTCTGAGAAAGCAAGGATCCCAGCACCTGACAGGCGCCCAGAGGTGGACGTGGGTGCTGGGTCCTGAGCCCCGTGCTCTAGCCCTTCCCAATGCAGGATGGCAGGGCCTCACAGAGCACACAGTCCGGTGTGCAGGGAGCAGTGTGTGACCCGAATGAAGAGGAACCCAGCCAGACACAGGGCAGAGAGCAGCCCCTCACCTGCCTGCCTGCCTTCCAGGGAGGGAGCGCCCAGGGCACGCGCAGCCAGAGGACGCTGGGTTCCGAGCATGGCTCGGCGGGGCGGGTGCAGGCTGAGTAGGTGTCCCCACGTGATCAGCTGCAGAGCTGTGGCAGCCCCGCAGCACACGGCTCGGCTGACCCTTCACAGCACACAGGGCCTGGCCATCTTGTGCCCAAGCCTGGTAAAGCACCATTTTGTGTCTGCCTCTGCACTTGGTTTTCCTGTGTGAGTGTGCTGAGCTGTCTCAGGTGTGCTCAATTCCCCTTCTGTATGGGGAGGGGCACCTGCAACCTATGCACAAGATATTCGGTCTCCCACGAAAACAGCCCCCTCTGCCCGCCCACCCGGTGCCGGTCCTCGGCCCGCTGCGCCCCGGGCCTCTGCAGGGGTCTTCTGGGGAGGTGCCTGCCAGCCCTGTGGGCCCTTGTTTGGCACAGGGATGTCCACTCTTACAGGAGCTTTTTTGTGAACATTGCGAGTGCCACACAGAAGGCCAGGCGCAGGGTAGCACATCGGCCTTCCATGGTCACGCGGGAGGGGTTCCATGTTCGGGGTCACCAAATGATCAGCAGGTTTAATGCTTTATTATTTCATGCACCGCCCAGATAGCAAAAATTAGAATGGTTTGTGTTTGTATTCTACAATGTATTGGAGATAATTAAAAATTAGCCCATGAAATCACTGGGATCTTTATAGGAGCAAGGACCTGGTGACAGCATTTCCCTTTAGGCAAATGAACTGGACTTTTTTTTTCCGAGGGTAAATACGGAATCTGAATCCAGCGGCACATCTTATGAAAACTGCTAACTCTTCAGGGTCACCTCGGTTTGCCCAGCAGCCTTCCGGAATGCCCACCCCTGGCCACGTCTTATTAGCAACCGGCAAGAAAATAACTAAAAATAATCGGCCGCCGAAATGATTATTTAAGCCTCTAAGAAATCCAGCCCGATGACTGTGCGTGACTGTGCGGTGGCTGCGCTCTCGCCGGCGCTGCTTCCAGTTCGGCTGCACTTGTGCGCGGCGGTGGCGGCGCTCAGACTGCAGAGCGCCCCAGCGGCTAGAGGCAGGGGAGGGGTCCCCGCTCGCCTCCGCGCTCGGCTCGGCCCCGGGGCTCGCAGGCGGGGAAGGTTAGCGGCGGGATCCATGTGATCAAGGCCGGAGCCCGGGGAAGATGAGCCTGCCCGCCCGCCTGCTGCCTGGATGTGGAGGGTGAGGGCTGGCGCACGCGAGGCCGCTGGCTGCGCATTCGGGCGCCGGGTGCCCGGGATGAGCTCACGCCCGCGTCTGTGGCTCTCTGCACCTGCCGACCTGCCGGGGGCCCCCTGAGCTGACGGCGCACCTGGGCTCTGGCCGCAGCGGCGGGCGCGGCGCCCGGGAGCAGGTGTGCAGGAGCGCAGCGCGCGGCGAGCGCAGCCCTCGCCCCGGAGCCCGGCCGCGCCGCGTGCCCGGGCGGCTCGGCGGCGGCGGCGGCGGCGGCGGCAGCAGCGGCGGCGGCGGCGGCCCCCGGGCAGGTGGCGAGCGGCGAGCAGAGCCGGGCCGGGCGGAGCGCGGGGGGCGAGGCCGGCGCGTCGCTCGCGGAAGGCCGGGAAGCAGCAGGGGCATGTGGATACTGGCCCTCTCCTTGTTCCAGAGCTTCGCGAATGGTGAGCCTTTCGGTTTGTGATGAATTTCATTTCTTGAGGTTGACCCGGGGGTGGGGGTGGGGGCGGGGGCGCGCTGGATGCATGGGTGAATCTTCCTTATTTTTTTTTAAAAAAATTTTACATCCCTCATCTGTGTTTTAAATAGCCATGCTTTTATTTATTTTTAAAAAAATATATTTTTTTTATTTCTTTGGGCGAGGAGAGGCAGAGATGGAGAGAGGCTGGGGGAGAAATTGCTCGGTAATCGTTGGAAGGTGCTTACCTAGCTCAGTGCCAGCTGGGAGCTAACTCCAGCAGGAGACAGCACCTTATTTAGAAGGCGGCAGGTCTGGGGAGAGTGGGAGAGACAGACAGAGATGGCCACTTTGAATACCACAACCTGAAAAGGGACATTCCAAGTGCGGGCAGGTGGAGGGGTCAGTTTCAACCCCCCACCTCCAGATTCCAAGCTGCCTGGGCTGTGAACGCAGGTGTTTTAATTCTGCTAAATGATGTCTCTCCGGCTCTAAGAAAGCTCTCTCCTTCATGTCCTCTGCTACATATTCCCCGCAGCCGTTCGAGCAAAAATATACACTGATAAGCATTACATCATCCGAAATGTTGACGAATTTTAAACACACACACACACACACACACCTGTGTGGTGGTATAAATGGAATCGGGGAGCGTTGTGGAGAGCACTCCGTCTCCAAGGCCCAGCCAGTGCTGTTTGGCGAAGGCTTTCTTCCCGGGCACGGAGAACGCTCCGGCTCTTGACTGAGTCAGATGCAATTAGCGTGTGCGGCTGCACCTCCGCGTGCCTGCCGCCGTGTGACCAGGAGCGTGCAGGTATGAATGGCTGCCTCGCGCGTGGGGACAGGAGGCGGCTGTCCTCCCCGGCACTGCAGCTCCGGTCCCCACTTTGGCTTCAGGAAGGCGCATCTGCGAGAAACGTGTAACCTGCTGACGGTTGAAATGAAGCCATTGAGCAGAATCCCTTACCCAGGAGAGAGCGGGCGAGCGAGCGGAGGGAGAGAGGGCACAGAGAGAGAGGAAATCTGTCCCTTGTGAGAAAATACGGCGGGGGCGGGGGGGCGGCTTGGAGCTTTTCCTGAAGACCCGGAGGGGAGCTCTGGTGCTGGCTGCACAGAGCCGTGCACGTCCTCTGCCTACCTAGATGGTGCTGGAACAACAGGCCGCAGGAGAAGCCCCACGTCCATTTTTTTTAAACGAGGTGTAAGAAAGGACTGGAGAGAAGCAGCTCCCCGACTCACGTCGCACCAGCCCCTTGCTCTCTCATCAGCCAAGTATTGGCAACTTTCATTTTGAGATTTCCTGGCAGGAGAGAGCGGCAACAAGTTCCAGCCAGACACTCGTCTTTCCCAGAGGGCACTGCTCCGGTGCTGCACCCTGGCAGGAACAGATAGGCTCTGGGGTGGGGGGAGGGCGGGTGATGTGCCAGGGGAGGGCGGTCCTTGCGGCCGCTCTGCTAACGTGAATGCATGCCACACGGACAGGTGCTTCTGGGTGAGCTCCGGGGGCCACAGCCCCCTGATGGCCGGGCTGGTCCACCAGGTGAGCCTCTCTGGACGCCTTGGGGAGGCCTGAGTCACAGGATGCAGCCAGATCTGTGGCCTGCTGGGAAGGAGGTGTCTCAGAGTGATGGGGGGGTGGTGGGCTGTGCCCCTGGCTGCCTGTCACTCGGTACCTGAAATGCAGCTGTGACGAGCATGGCACGATCCACGCCACCGTGGTCTCTGGTCTGGGCTTGGGGGCTGTTCTGAATCAGCATTTTCTAGCTAAAATCAACAACCCTGGGAAAAAACGGATCCCTAGAAAAGCAGTGATGAAACTAGGAGATCCACAGCTATTCCAAAGGATGGCAATGCACTCAACGCTTGCAGATGTGCACCTGGGCTAACGCCTCTGTCACCTCCTTTCACAACGCCTCGTATCATGTGTGTCTCATCACCACGGTTAGGATGGCAATGCGTAGTGTGAGAGGCAGTGAATTTGTGTGCGGTGTGATGCTATCAACCAGAGAAGCCTACGCGAGGATCTTACAGAAAAATGGCCCTCTCTGTATGGTCAAGCATTAAAAAAATAGCCTTACTGGTAGGGAAGGGAGGGGTTCAGCTTTGAGGGGGTTCTTAAGGAATGACAGTCAGTGCCTACTGTGCAAAGAGTCCCAAGATGGACAGTCATTCAAATTCGGGAGTTCTGTTTGCATTGCTGCCTGCTCAGAACCCCGTATTTCAAAAACGTGACCTGAACGACTCCTGCCTCTTTGCACGAGGCCTAAAGACACACGGATGGGAGTGTCTGTGGC